TATCTTGGTTTTTACCCGAATATTTTGACTGGTATGTATGTTGATATTCTACCTCCTAACTCCTAAAGTACTGGCCATAATTTGATTAATAGAGTATCATTAGAAGCGTCTCATTAGTCCGCTGGCTATATAAAATTACAAATGGCGCCTTCTAAAGGCCAAAAAATCATGAACAAAATAAAAAGATTGATTACTTACCTATGAAAGGGCGTAATTAGCACAATTCAAATAATTTAAATAAGTAACTCACCAATTTTAAACAGTTCGTATCATACATATGTACATAATTATTTTTTCTTAAAGATCTACATAGTAAAGACAGCTTTAGGTTATTCCTTATTGAAACTTTTGAGTACCTCAAGTTGGTATGAATCACTATAATATAGTAATTATAATAACTATCGTGAGACATATTTAATTACGTAAGTAAAAATCGCGGGTTACTCACGTGAATATACTGAGAAAAGCTCTACTAGTTTCGAATCATAGAGGGGTTTTTCCTCATGAGCACCGTGCGCGGTCGCGGCGATGTCGCGCAGCCTCAGTAGGCTTGGCCACGGGAATAACCCGCGATTTTTACTTAATATAGTAATTCTCCAGTAAAGTGTGATAAGGTACGAAATGTACTGTTTAAAACTTCCACACTTATTAGGTGTATTAACTCGTCGAGTACCGTCATTATAGACACAATTATAGAACAATAGGTTGCGGTCACCGGTGACCGCTTGGTGTTTGACAGTTTAATTTATTTTCAATACTATGTAAATTTTTATATAGGCAACTTTAATTATTCAATTCGGTCTTCACAATAGATATAAGTTATCATTTTACCTAGAAGTCGAAGGTTAATAAAGTCAGGTACAAGCATCGAGCCCTAGTGGAGGTTATGAAATAGTTACCTACTAATTATATATAATGTATTGGTTTCAATTTAAGACTAATTATATTATGTAATTACAAGTCTGTTATTCTACGCACATAATTTGGGCGGTCATCGATCGATTTGGTCTGATCGACTTTTATATTGGTCACCAAAAATGTTTATGTTAAGTTTTGTTAGTATAAGGGTATCTAGTAGTAAAACAACAATAGAAATTAGTTTTTTTGTTAGCTGTAACTGAAAGTAGTATTCAGTCAATGAAACATATCATTGTAATGTAAGTTCTTATTTAATACCAACTTAAAAAACAATCGTAATAACATTTCCAGAAGTTCGTAGGGGATTGAAAGTCTGCGAAATCCTATACTTAAACGTGAAATCAGTAATGTTTTTTTAATAACAACGTTGCCCTGGATTTTCTCCTGTGGCGTGGGTGCGATTACAAACATACAAGTTCACATACACCCAAACTCGGAACAACAATCTATAGATCACACAACGAGTTGTTCCGTGCTGGAACGAACCCGCGACACGCGTGCGGCAGCCAGTTGACTAACCACCACGCCAACTGTGCAGTCATTTTACTTAATAAGTGTGGAATCTGTAAATAGTATTGTTCAATCCAAATCAATCAGATATTAGATAATTTAATAATCAAGTGTCAATTACAATCTTAACACTAAACCTATGCATATTTAGGTAATCACAATAAAAAAGGTCCACATCAATTTCTTGATAAACTAATTTTAATCAACTGTTCTATTCACTAGAGATGCAAAAAATAACAGTTAAAATACACAGTAACCGCTCGGTTATTGATTGCAATTTCAACTGCGTGGTGCTCGGTCGGTGAGTTCGAAATGATTACATCTGTAAACAATCACGCTCGGTATCGCAAACACTACAAGTTGATATTGAGTGATTTCGACCACTCCCGAACCTCAATACTTTCATTAAACTGAAATAATACACCGCACTCTAACCCACAAAGGGTTGGAGTGCGTGATTATTTTGTACCAGTTTTCCGAAGAACTTTTTGTAAGAAGTAAAGAAGTTCTTCGTAGAGTTTTATATAGCACGTCCATTACGACATTATTATAACATGTTTATTAAGAGAGAAAACTTACTACAGTAGTTAACCCTTAGACTGCCATGTCAGTCACCGGTGCCTGACGCTAGTGGAGGTTTGACTTTCATCGTTTTAAAGTTGGCAGTTAAAGTATTAATCTTAATTGTTAATAGGTTATCACTTCATTGTATTGATTTTATTATCATATTTCGGATTATTAATCTTTAATATACCTCTGTTCAATTGACAATTCGCAAGTATGCAGCGTGCACGAGTTTTGCGTCAGATGCGTGACCATCAAAGCTGTTTACTACGCACATTCCGCAGCCACATTTTTATCAAAACTGTAGCAATCTTCGTAGACATTACTCGTAGACTGCTACGCGGAAGTGTAAAACGATGATACCGTTCCGATGATCAAACATACCAAAGTAATGATCGTTAATAAGAAGCTGCGATTCAAAGCCGCAATTTTTGCACTGACTGGATGACGCCATTGACGATACAAGGCCGATTAATTCAATCACGTTGTTAAACGTTTGTAGATCAAATTCCTTATAATTTAGAGTTATTTGCAAAAGCTTTTTATCCCTTTCCCACTCGCTTTTCTATCGTGTTTAAACCGGTAAAGGCTTAGGCCTATTATTCCATTTAAACATATCCACCATACTTTTATCGAGTACAGTCAATGCATGTTTTGCGTACAGTTTTGATCAGCGACAGTGTGCAATTCGTCACGTTTGAGTGACCTACTAGCCGACTACCCTATCAGGAACATCGGACGCCATATATTCTTCACTGCTTGGCATGCCCAGCGGGTATTGACGGGCTGACAGCAGCCAATCCGTGATTATATTGTTGACCAGTCAACTCATTCTGCGAACCAATTTTAAGTATTTGAGATAGGTGTTTTATAACATCTCGTTGTTCATCATAGAAAGGGTAGCAGTATTGTGCCTTGATCACAAGTTGGGAAAAACTAATTTAAATATTTGCTACCTCATCACAGTGTACCGTATAACCTGTTTATTGCTACTAAATATCTCGATATAAATTGCAACATATATATTTTTTAATAATAGGTTTGAAAATGTAGCTTACGTTTACCAATAAGTCCTTTATTTCAATTAAAAAATATCTACAGCTGGTGAAATGTCATGTTGGTAATTGCACTTCTGCCGATCAAGCATGACATTTCGTTATGTACCTACGCTCGATAAGTGAACGAAACGAAGCCATAAAAACACAGTGTGTCATCGCACACACTGCAATTAACGAAATTATCTTATCACTGAATGTTGGAAACCCTTCAGAGAAAGTATTAACAAAAAGCAGCTTAATACAACAATGACTATATAAATGTGTTTAGAACAAAATACTTTATAATGAATGCTCTTAGGAATGCTTCAATCAAAACCAATGATAATAGCAATAATATTGTTTAATGGGCAGCTTAAATTATTAATACTCCTCAATTATTTACCTTTGCGAACGTAATTGATAAGTCTAACAATAAGCCGATACCAAAATTCTCATCATTACAAAAAGCACTCGTTTCTGTGTAAGTTTCAATTTAATTGAGTTCCAGTAAAAGCCATTGTTAAAGTCCAAATAATATCATTGTACTTAATAATTAAATTGGAATCACTTCAAAATAATTATTACGTTATGATTTTTTGTTTATATTTTTAGTTGTTTTGTAATTTTGTATTTTTAATGTAGGTAGTGGTTTATAAAGCTCTAAGTGGGAGAACAAATCTTTGTATAGATTTTACAACGCAAAAAATCTGGAACGCCCTAACAATGACTACTAACTAAATATACTTGTTAATACCATCAATAACAATTTAAAAATCCAATAAAACTGTTCCATTGATCATTATTATTATAATTTTAATTTTATTTTATTGTAATTTTAATTTTGATTTTAAAATTAATTTCGATTTCGTAGGTATATTGTAATTTTCATTTTATTCTACTGTAATTTTTATTTCACATTTTTGTCATTTATAAATTTGTGATTGTTGTGTTACTATGGGTTCCTATGCCTGAAATAAGTCGCGGAGAACCTAACGGGTAACCGGGGCTCCGGCTCGACGTGCAGGAGAAGGAACGGGGTGGTTTTTAGTCAGTAAGAGTCTGACACTCCCTCCCGCCTCACCCAGGCGGGGGCAGTCATTCGATGATTTTCCCCCCTTAAAAAAAAAAAAAATGCCTGAAATAAATGATTTATTATTATATTATTATTAATAATTCCATTTATTATATGAAGAAGACGAAATATTTTACAACAAATCATTATTTTACCCACAAGTCTAGATCTTCCTAAAGCTTGATGGGGCTCCGGCTCGACGTGCAGGAGAAGGAACGGGGTGGTTTTTAGTCAGTAAGAGTCTGACACTCCCTCCCGTCTCACCCAGGCGGGAGCAGTCATTCGATGATTTTCCCCCCTAAAAAAAAGGCAGTTGATTTCACTTTCCTAAACATTTCTAAACAACACTTTACTTTCAAGACACAGTTTCATCTGCGGTTAGAATAAATAAGAAACTAAGCTTTCACGCTACATAATACAGTTGCGACCAGCAGTAGTGGTACTAAGCGTTGCATATCATGTGCCTTCTAGTAAATCGCGAGGACTGTTAACTCACTTTGTGGTTAGTAGTTCCGAAATCACTTTTTACTCCATATAACTCCTATGCGGTTGAAGTTAAAGTTTAAAGTAAAAGAGATTGTCTAGATGAAGGAATTTATGCGACGGTTCATGTGATAGGAATGTCCGAACGTTTCTTGTGTCTTGGCGATTTAATTTGTTACTAGAATTTAACGTCGTCGTCTTGAATTATTTGGGTTTTTGGCCACTTTAGTAGTGTTGCTATATGTATCGCTATAGATAAAGTTTAAATTAAAAGTGAATACAATATACCTAAGTAGACATAGCCACTGATTGCGATTTTGATTCATTCAGACTTCGGGCATAGTTTGTGAAACGGACACTTGAACTTATGTTATAGTTTTGAACAATTTTACTCATTTGTTTTTTTTCTTCACCAGCAATGGCAGCAATGGTTCTCGAGAATACGAGCAGTCAGCGCCTGGCGAGACAAGTGGAGGGGGGACTGATGCTGAGCCTAGGACGCCAGCGCCCCCTACCGACCGCTACGAAGACCTGCAGAAAATCATATTCAGTCAACTGCAGGGCAAGGCTGAGGATCACACGGTAGTCATACCTCCACATCGGGATCTCAATATCTTAAGGCCTGAGAATCCCACCATTGGGGAGATGGAAGATTTAGAACCTAGGTAAGGAATAAAACTATTCTATATCTAGATTATATGACACCACGACAGTTTACCGATATTCTTATCGTGTCAAAGACATGGGAGTGAGCGCAATTTTACGATTTGTAATTATTATCTGTGTATTATTGTTTAAATCGTAACTGAAAACTTTATAAAGATAATCGACGGCCGAACCTATTTGAACTATCGTGTTCAATTATTCTTCTTGCGATTTCAGGGTCAACAATTTGTCCCCTAACTATGCGTGAGTTTGCCAGACTGTGGTTTCTAAATCTATATGCACTTCCAATTATATGTATTTAATCAAATATTTTATACTTGGATTAAAAATATTTGATGAAACCTATCTTGTGAGACTCTGATAGGTACAAAAAAGTAAAGGGTTCTAGACATAGGTCCTCTTCAAAAACTTACTAAAGTATAACAACACTAAACTGACAAATTGTGTGCGTTAAAAAAATGTTTTTGCATTTCTTAGTATAGCCAAAATATAATTTTAGCTTTTCGTACAGACACATGTAAGCTTTTTACGTAATTTATTCGCTACATACATTTCAATATTACACTTTTTTCCACATAATCTTTATCCAAAGTGAGTACTTTATATTCTAGAATTTCATAGAGTAACGATTCCCTTACTGATACTCTCTTACAGATTATTGGACAGAGAAGATACAAGTGAATTTATGCGGTAATTATTTACTCATATTTTTATATCCTTTTAAGGATGTATGATCGTAATTATTGATTTCTTTTAATCGTCTTTAAATTTAATACTGGTTCTGTTTAACGTGTTTGTAAAAGAGGTCGAAGGGAGTAGTTATCGCATTTCTGTTTTCAAAATTTTACCGTTTTTCCAGAAAATTATCTTCATGTGATAAGATGTGTCTAAATATTACACCTAATATTAGGTTATTTTTATATTTTTTACTGGTATTTTTGACACAAATACATCACGAAATAATGCAGAGCTTTTTAGGTATAACGCATCAGTTACCACACCACAAAAAACAAACATCTAAGGCTATTTAATTAATTATTCTAAACATGATTTTAGCAAATTTTCACAAAGTGTTCTCAGAAAAAACAATCAACATAATATTTCAATCCTTTAGACAATTGCGCAGAAAGTAAATACCAAAATAAAAGGAATATTCAGTCGTTTAAGAAATATTAATTAAAACGTTCTGCGAAAAACGACGCGAAAAGGACATTACAAGGAAAATTCTCTAAAGTTGCCGACAGCTGACATCCACAAGTACGATTTATGTAGCACGCCGCGAGTCGCCAAATTAAATTGTTAGTTCCTTCGTTATTACCGCAATTAAACTTTGAGAACATGAACATTGCTGGAACAAATGTTTACATATTTCCGAGCAGCTCCGTCTCCAAATGTAATGTACTATGTAACACGTCAGTGCACGTTCTAAAGGCGATAGCTTTTCATCCACCACGAATGCCCCCGCAGAGCACTGAAGTATGCATCAAAATCAAACAGGTAGGTCGCGGCCGGCCGCCGCTGCTTCAGGTAATTTCACTAAAGCAAATATTAGGCCACCGCGACACCAATGAAAAGAATGAATCTTATATTTAACATTCCTCTCTCGTTTAGGTACACTATCAACAGAATGTCGTTTGATACAGGACCATAAAAAGGATCATATCATACTTCCAGCATGGAATGATTCTATAATACGAAACAGACAAGCGACCTTTCTTTATCTTGAGAGGCAAATTTCGCAAGACCTACAAGGAATCTTATTTAAAATCCAGTTACGGGGTCCCGCCGAGATAGGCGCGGGTCTTTGACAATAAAACTAAATGGAATGAATGCATGATGGCTTCCTTAAAACGCTGCTCGTGATATGACGGGACCTGTTATCATCAAATTCATGTATCATGTAGAAAGGGTTGCGTTGATACATGGTAAATTTGCTACATTTTTTTCAAAATTGGGATCATCTACGTAAATATGGGAGGAGATGAACATTCATTGTTTAACACGAGAACGTTTTCTTTTGTTATGAATTTTTTATACATTTCGGTCGCCGTGCGCATAATAAGCTCAGATAAAATGTGGAAGTAAATAGGGCTTCGTGTTCGTTTAGAATAATGAACGTCCACTTGTCGCGAGCCGGAACAATCGAGTTTTTTGAATTCTCGCTCGACGCCGGCACAATTCACACCGAAAGAGAGTCAATAAATTTTAGAATAGCTGCCGGCTTGATTTCTAAATGCAGGTTATCGGAGCATGCCACAAATCGAAAACGTTACACGTACGCTCCTTAGTATTCAGTTCCGTGCTGCGTCGTGTCGCCCGGAGTCTCACACCTCCTGCTAGTAGGCAAATCACGTCCACTTATGTGTTCCACGCAGCCAAAACCAACACGCTGCCGCCGCGCCGCCGTCGGAAAATCTTCCATGTAAATCTTGACGTTAACGACCAGGTTTACGGGCGTGTGCGAAAAATTTCAAGTACCTTCATCGATGACATAGTACGCATCGGTTTGGTCTCTTCCGCTGAGCCTACATACGCTTTGAGGCAGTCGCACATAATAATATCTACGTGTCATTGATGATATAAATAAAAATCAGTATCTATAACAACCAGGCATATGGCGAACATTTACCACTATAATATTGATTTCATAGGAATCAGTAGTTAGCCTTCTAATTTAAACCCGCACAAAAGGCAGAATACCGCATAATAGATAATCAATAGGAATTAATGTCGTATAATAATACCAATCAATTTCTATTGCAGCATAAACGCTTCTAATTTGGAAAGGTTCCAACTGAAGATAGCTCAACACGAATTGTATGAGGATGGGGAACCGCTAGTGGACGAGATTCTCAAAGATATGGCCACTAACAGCATCCTACATGTAGGTAAGTTTGACTACCACGTACATTCTATAATTCTAGATTTAAATAATTAAAAGTAAACCGAGGTTGCCTACTAACTAAATCGTAGTACTGGTACCTACCAGTTGTCAAGCTTACCAACTTGAGGTCTCAGACAATTTTGTATTTGGAATTATGTTCGTTATTATTATTCGCTGGATTTACATTATTCAACATTCGACAACTGAAATCAATTCAACTATTGAGTAAGCCCTGATCTCAATTTAAGTATGTATCGACATAAAATATTCAGTGCACCGTTGATCGGACTTAGAAAAGCAATTACGTTTAGACAGACAACCTTTACGCCACCCTCACTCTACAACTGGACAGTCGATGCCTACCGTTCCTGTATTACATGCTACGGTTAACTTTTATTTACGAATGAAAGACGATTTTTGTATGGTGATTTTGGTTTGTAAATTGCATTCTTTTAAAATAATTTAGCACTTATTAACTGATAATTAACTATAAAAAGAATATATGTGTATGTTAGGCTCTTCTGTGTGGAATAGAGTTGGTAGGTAGCGATCTAAAATTCTTTCAGATTTAGAGAAGAATACTCAAATGATATCTGCATATATAAAAGCTAAAGTAGGTAGGTATGTATATTAAATGAGGGCGGGTCTGCAATCAGTTGCGGGGTTAGCGGTCCGTCGGACAATAGTGCCACAACAATCTCGCCCTTTACTTCGAATTGGACTTAAATATTTAAACCACTTAAATGGATTTCATTGTTGATCCGACTTTATCGTATATACTACTCAACATTTATTTTTAGAGTAGTCAGAACTACTACTGAATAACTACGATAGGCGACATTCTAATGTCATCTAAATTGTTAGTTTGAAGGCTGAATTTAAAATTTGAGACCAGTTACTTAGCGTTTGTACTAATTTATTTGATGTGACGTCTAACTACAAATTGTTTTTCACAGAGCAAAAAGAGGGAGGCACGCAGTTGAAACTTATTATTGACTACCCTAATGGCGTCCAAGCGCTCTTCAAGCCGATGAGGTAAGTTCAACATCGAGCGTCCATAATTTATAGTTTTACGTGGAGTGTCCGTCCATCATCTGTCATGTCTTTCACAGATACGTAAGTTTTATTTTGTTTGGTAAACAAGTTGGGTTGAGAGTAGTTTGGAGTGTCCGTGCAAGCTCCTGAAGGAGTTGCCACAACTTTCCTGTCACCTTGTTGGGTGTTCGTTCTATTCACAAAACTCGTAGAATGTTCTTTCGTGCGATCGGCTTAGCGGCTTGCCCACACTGTTCTCAACTACAAGTGCTATTGAAGTACTGAGTTCGCCAAGTTCTCTTACTTGCGTACGGTATTGTTAAAGTTGATTGTGTTTTCTGTTCAATACCTCATACATTGCTTATGTTATATTTTGTGAAAGCTTTTAGACCTACTCGTTCCAACAAACTTATGGAGAGTCTGCACAGTGATATTTCACATTCATTGTTACATGAGCACACTTCGAGTACACAGGTACCGCATCGTATATTCAATATTCTGTAATGCTATCTGATACAATTTTTGACGTGACAAAGAATACAAAGAGCATTCCCAAAAATGTACTCGCGGGAATTTCACGAAACTCCCGGCAGGCCTATATATCGAGTATCAGACGTCTTAGCACTTCGCTTTTATTTTTAAAATATGGATTCCATATAAAATAAGAAATAATAGTATTTGAAGTGTAAGGAACAAGGCATATGTTTGCATGAGACTTATGTATGCACATAGTTTTACATTTGATACTCCAACACATTTATGGCACGTTAAAACAAAACAATATAAATTATTCTCGCCTTGAAATACTTGAACATAGGCAGACAGTTAACTTTTCTAGCGAACTGGATAACTTTTCTAAGAAAATTATAGACTCGAGGGGTTACCCCGGCGACATATCAAGAGGTCCTCGTGGATTTTTCACGATTCACAAGGGCGCCATAAATTACGTGACAGTCGGCGGTAACCCTTCCCTGCACGAGTATCTATTAGTTTTATCACCTTGACTACCATTTTTGTACTAGTGATATATTGTATCGGGATTCGAAATCCAGTAGGTGTAATAAAAAGTATTCAAAATTGGTAGCAGCTATTTAATGTCAAGAGGTAAAGGGGATGGAGAATCTAAAGCATTTGTTAGTAGCCTTTTTAAATTGTACTATCTCACTTACGAGTCGCACTGAGGACAATAAATCGGAAGGCACTCGGTGCAGTATATTCCCGGGATTGCTCCTATCTAACCAGATTCACGATTTAAGAGCCACTTTAATCGTTTTGTTTCCGAGAAATTGATTAAGCACCCACATTCGACTCATTAGACACTAAAAGAAATTATACCTCCATTTGTTACTTGGAATGAGTAATTTTTCCATTTTAGTAGGTAATTTAACATTTTTCGACGTTATAAATTTATTTTAAAGGACAGGGGTCCCTTATCTCCAGGAGTCGATATTTGATATTTCTCTTTAATGGATTTATATTACTCGGTTTCAATTTACGTCATGAATAAGTACCTGCCAAGAATTTTTGGTTATTTCATGTTCAAATTTTACTTTACAATTTTAAATGTATTTTCTTTTATTTAATTAAGTAACTTGACTTTTGAAATTAATGGGAAGTTTTTAAAAATTATAGGTTTTTGTTTCACATTTTTTGTGCGTATTTTGTTGTCTTATCATAATTCCTGCGATATTTTATCATTGTCGTGTTATAGGGTGTTCGAAACTAGCTTAAGTTGCAAATTGATTAATGTAGATAGTTATCAGTTGCCACCACAGCGGGGAGACGGGCCAGCATCGTGCTTTATCTATTTAAATCTTAAGTCCGTCCTCCATAACATCTCGCGAGCATAGCATTAAAGATAAACGCCTGTTTTGCAATACAAATAGCGTCTTCCTTTGATTTTTTTAACTTAACATATATTTTGTTTACAGATTTGCTCGTGATGTGCAGACGTTGCCGAATCATTTTTATTTTTCTGACTACGAGCGACACAATGCTGAGATAGCAGCGTTTCACCTGGACAGGTTAGACCCAGTCGCCACTCATTAGGACTGTAATATAACTACTTTGTAAGATGTATCTCTTTGATTGAACTCATTTGTGTGGAATTCAACATAAGCGTGGGGCTTTATATTTACGCAATTGTTTGCGAACACTTACAAGAATAAAACTTTGTGTAGTGGGATAATTTTCTTGATTTACCTCAATCATAATATATCATCGCCTTCTTTGTTTCTAGAACAAATAAGCTGAGCTATGTATATTAATGCAACACCCACTTTTAAACGTAATATTATTAATTTCATGTAATAAAGGATGAACCCTATAAGGAAAAATATTGGCTTGAGAAGCTTTACTTTTACTAAGAATGTTTACAGTCAAAAATTTAAGAGTTATGATTTGGAGATCCCATATCTTGCTTGGCATTTGCCCTAGGTAGTTAGTTCTTAATCAATCAGTCACTAGTTGTAAATCATCAGTTTAACCTAAGGTCTAGTGAAGACGTTCATCGGAAGCTAACATCCCTATTTGCGACCACGAATAGAGGTGACGTTTAATGTAAATCATGTGTTATCCAGGATACTCGGTTTCCGTCGCGCGATGCCGGTCGTGGGCCGAGTCCTCAATATGACGACAGAGATCTACGATGTAACTGAAGGTGACATTCTAAAGACCTTCTTCGTTTCACCGGCAAACAACTTCTGCTTCCACGGCAAATGTTCCTACTACTGCGACACTGGCCACGCAATCTGTGGCAACCCTGACATGCTCGAGGGCAGTTTTGCAGCGTTTCTTCCCTCATCCGATATCGCGGAACGAAAGGTTAGTATAAACAGCAATCTACAAGAATTTTAATAAGATTCTCGTTGCAATGCAATTTGTAAATATAAGTTTTTACGATTGCTATTAATTTGTTGTGAAATAAACAGATATATAATTAGGTAGACTATCAAATTTGACGTGGTTGAGTGTAACAAATTATCATATGCATAGGCAATGTTGTCGCGACGGCGGCGTAATACATCATGATGCGTAGTTCCTTGTTACTTGTGCACATTATACGCGGTCTGTGTTACGAACTACGCATTGTAGAATTTAACATAAACTTTTGACGCACAGGTTTCTCCCAAAACATTCGCTACTGAATTAAATATCTAGATAATATTTGAAATTCTATCTAGTTGTATAATATCTATGTAAATCGTAACAATTACGATAATGTTGATGTTGTTTGACATTTTGAATTGTGTGTAGTACACGCTTGTAGGATTCTTTTTATCTACTATAATAATATAGATACATAGGTTACAAATTCTTAGCTCTGCCTATCGATACAGAACAAAAAATAGGGTAATGTCTTTTCATCAGTATTTGCGTGCTAAATAAAGTGATATAAATATTAAAGCAGGTATAATAATATGTTATGTAGATAGCAATATAAGTCCAAAACGTTACAAAAAAGGTAACAAATTATTATGCTTCTTTTACTATTTTCGGTACAAAGTAAGCCTTGTAACGTGTACATTTTAGGGCGATATGGCGGGGATTCGCTCATAAAGGAAGGGTTTATGGTCAAATAATTATAATTTAAAATAATAGTTTCGTGCTGTTTTGGTCTAATCTCTGTATGTTAGTGGAAACCTTTAGGAGGAATTTAATAATAATTAAAATAAGCTAATGCACTAGGAATGTTGATAATTTGACGGGCATTTAACCTTGATATTTGTTTTCGCGTGATTAGCTTAAAGGCATTACAACTTGTGCGGTCCTTGCTTGGTTTCTTATGTTGAAATCTGTAAAGTTGTCTGTTGCTGTTCTGTTCAATGCAAATCCCATTGGGATTTTCAGATGTAGATGTAGATGAAGCAGACAAAGATTTTTATTTTATCGATTTTTACGGAATGGGGATGATGACAGGGTATAAAAATTAAAAATATAATTAGTCCATAAGTTAGGTAATTAAAAAATATTAGACACGTATTTTTTTCTTTTGTCGTATAATAAAACAATAATTAGATAAAACGAATCAAAGTTTAGGAGTGGGGGCTAAAACGTCATTTCTTAGTATAAAATGTACTGAGAAGTGACGTCACGCGACATTTCAAATCAATATATCGTCGAAAGTATTCGTTTCTGTAAGAAAATAAAAAATACGTGTCTAATGATTTAAACTGTCAAATACCAAGCGGTCACCGGTGACCGCAACCTATTGTTCTATAATTGTGTCTGCAAAACCGGTACTCGACGAGTTAAAATAATCTACCAGACGGACATAAAAATAAAAATTAGTCGTCTACCCTATTGTTTTGTTCTTATATTAATATGAATTCCTTGCATTTATTTAAAATTTTCTATAGGTAATTAAATTTTTAAATAATACCTATTTAAAAAACAGAAAAAAATAATATTAAAAAATATACAAATAGGAGCCAAAGTAAACTAGCGGTGCCTAGGGCTCCAGAAACAGAAATCTCCTGAACATACGTGCCGTTTCTAAGAGAACTGAAATTATTATGATTATTTTAAATATTGTTAAAATAAACCAAACAACATCCTGAAGGCATTTCCATACAAAATATCATCCTAATTATGAAGCTATGAATGAATCTATATATGTGAACCTGTGTGTAATTTCTTTGCAATAAGTTTTCTATTATCTTCAGGTTTGGCGACACCCGTGGAGAAGATCCTACCACAAGCGAAGAAAAGCTCCGTGGGAACTACAATCTGACTATTGTGACACAGTACGTTTTATTTCTATACTCTTGTAAATACATTTTTAACTTAGTAATTTTGTAATAAAATTTGGTTTTACATGTACTATGTGCCACAAAAGCATCTTTCTCTATTTCTCATTTTAAAGCTACATTTTAATTCTAGGTCCGCACCACTCCTCCTTATGACTCAGGTCGTCGGATGCTCGACCTCATGGACATGTCCATCTATGACTTCCTCTCCGGGAACATGGACAGACATCACTACGAGACTTTTAAGTTAGTATATTGCAACAGTTGCGTTATATTCATTCTTTCGGTTATGATTGTCATTCTCGATTGTAATTGTATCGATTTTATTCTTAAATCTGGGAATTGACAGAAGCTTCATACAACTAATGTCAAAATTTGATGTTAATCTAAAGGTTTTTGTTAAGATTTGTTATTAAATTTAACTGCTAGTTTCAAGTGGGTACTGTGTCTCTGTTCCTTTATTCTCAAGTCTCATTCGACTGAAGAGAGGTCAGTTGCAGATTATGGGTTAAATGTTTTGTTTATTTGAATGTTTAATTTAATAGCTGTTATTGTTTTATTTTTTTCTTGTACATCACCCATATTTAATACTTTCATTCACTTATTTTTACGTATTTCTTTCACGGTTAAAATATAAGTTTTAGAAACGAATGAATAGAATAAATAATCCTCTAAAACATTTTATGCTAAATTGAAAAGAATGGTGGAATATATTTTGTTGTGTCCAAGGATATGTTTTGTATTTGATTTAGTTATTTTGTCTGAAACTGACTTCGCACATAACATTTAAATACGTATTTTAAACTGTCAAACACCAAGCGGTCACCGGTGACCGCAACCTATTGTTCTATAATTGTGTCTGCAAAACCGGTACTCGACGAGTTAACTTACACAATCGCAAAATTGAAAAGAAGGCCGTTTCCTTAAATCACCAAGAGCAATTAATTTCCGTTCACACTGGAAGTAAAACGACTATTTATTTATAGTTAAAATATGCATTATCTTTGTAATGCAGAATTTCAAGTTTTACAAGGGTACGCCCAAATAAAGCTTGCGTTTTAATGACTTTTATATTAATGCAGAATGTTCGGGAACGAGACGTTCACATTGCATCTGGACCAAGGGCGTGCGTTCGGCAAGGCGTTCCATGATGAACTGAGCATCTTGGCGCCGCTGCTGCAGTGCTGCCTTGTGAGGCATACTACCCTCTCCTTGTTGCTGAAGTAAGTTTAATCATTGATTAACAACGATCTAACAAATTATCATATTCCTTTCTACTTACTTAGAGTATTTTTAGTTTTTTATATCCTTCATTAATCCTAATTTCTTTGGTGCAGGTTCCACAACGGTGTTCCTCTATCAAAAGTTCTCCGTGAATCATTAAAGCTAGATCCAGTCAACCCCATACTGTGGGAGCCACATCTCGTCGCTCTAGACCGACGTGTGCTCATCATACTTGACGCTATAAGAAATTGCGTCAACAAGGCCGAGTCGCCCCTACAAAACGAGGTGAACGATTTTGTATGACCGGTCACACCTATAATATGCTACGGGACTCATAGAAACGGTCTAATGAGTTGAAGTGTATGTGATATATGATTGTACGGACAATTAAAGGGATGGTGCAATCTGTGAAAATGACTAGCTAGTCGAACTCTCTCATAATCCGTGACTTAAGACAAACTTAGATATAAGAGAAGTTGTAATCAATGCAAAACGTATCGTTATCACCTTTGTCTTTGGTTCTGTCTACAAGACTTTTATTAGACGTAAGATTTTAGTGCCAAAGATTGTCCAAATGATTTTTTGAGATAAACAGAATATATTTTAGAACCATTCCACTGGATTTTGATGAGCCATTGTATGCCAAATATATAGGGGAATTGTAAATTGATTTTACTAACATCAGCGGTTATCGGTTTCGTTGTCTAAAATTGAACAGTATTGAAGAGTTAGTGTACTAGATATAATAATTTTATTTGTTCTTTCTGTATATTTTGGATAATGTTAATGAGTATTTCTGGGCTCAGACGAGACTTATTTAAAAGGGTGTGCAATGTTACTGTACATAATATTAATGAAATGCAGTTTATGCTAAGTTTAGTTGTATCATCATCCACTACCTTACTGCACAAGTTGTGAATTCTGTTACCATAGCTGAAGGCTCAAGAAGAGACATATCATATATAAGCCCGTGTGATAAGCACAGACGTTGTCTGACACTATTTGTTAAGTTTTTATTTGAGGCTATATATAAATCAATGCAATACTTGCTTTTCTATTTGTTACTAACTGATAAGTTTCTCGCTAACATATTTCTCGTAGCTGATCTCATGTTTCATACCTTCACTGGTTGGTTATCATCTTCATTTAGCTTGTAATGTAACTACGTACTATATCTGTGGAGAAAATATGAAATCCTACATAGCTTTTACTTTGATTAATTAGTCTATTAGTTAATTTGGATCCGATAGTTAAGATAATATGACGGAATAGTTAAGGTGAGACCTATATTTATTTTAATCGTGGTTTTAGTGTAAATTAGCGTGTAAAATGGGGTGTGACTGTTACATATACCGGGGGTTACAAGAAGTCGACTTGCCAAAGACGTACCTAAAAATTTATGTAAAAATGTGTTGTATAGCGAATTGTGATGTTTGAATGTATGCTTCTGTTGGTTGTTTATAAATTAAAAGGTTACATGATTGAAGACTTGTGTTTAATTTCGACATTTTTATTATCCTTTGTTGAGCTTGTGGCTAAAGTTGCAACCGTGCCAATCACTTTTAATATTAAGTTAGGTTAACTGCGATAATGAATGGGTACCTGAAAATCTTCTATGAGTCAGAGTGCAACATGACAGTCGTGAGGTCATCGTAAACATAAACGTCAAACTTACCCACTCGCAAAATTACCAGGGGGAAAAGATTCGAAAATCTTCCTACATGATCTTAGCTCCATAAAATATAAAATACCAACTGCAATATTGTCGCAAATACAACAGAGTTACCGAACCTTAGACCGACGAAACAAAACGAAATTATAAACATGTAAAATATAAAAGAAAATCTCGGGTCAGCGTGCCCGTAGTCTCATAAAGATCACATAAAACTGGAAACACAGATACGTCCGTCCTCCATAAAAACTGGAATATGAATAGTACGGATATTTGATACAAGGTTTTATGTCTTTATGGCAGTTTGTTGTTTATTAAATATCTTCGTCGAGTATCTTTAAATGTGAATCTCTTTATCATTGTGCCATAATGTGTGATGGATCTTCTGTCTCTCTTGTTTTAGTACATTTTTAAGTAGCTTACAAGTTGGTGAACACTTTCATTGACAAGTATTATAGAAAGATTAAGGGTGTTTATTTACGAGGTGGTAATTAGGGAGATACAGGCACGATCCGAGAGAAATGCCTATTTCGTATCGGAAGCCAAAAACAACTTTGGGTCACTGAGCCAACGTTGTAAGTAAGTCAGGGATATTAACTCGTCGAGTACCGGTTTTGTAGACACAATTATAGAACAATAGGTTGCGGTCACCGGTGACCGCTTGGTGTTTGACAGTTTAATAGAGATACATACATACATAACTTCATGCCTGTCTCCCATGGGGGTAGGCAGAGACTATGAAACGCCAATTACTACGATTCTTACATACCTCTTTCGATAGTGAAATACCTAATAATTATGACTCAGACACTTTTTTTGACCCCAAGTTGGAATATTCTCGACGAAAGGGACTGTCGGATGACTCACACACTACTCTAAATAAAGAAAGAAAGAAAAATTGTTTATTATTAGAATACCATTTGTATAGAACTCATGAAATACCTAGTGAAGAAAGGAACATGTACCTCTAATGTTAAACAAGTTAAACAAAGGTTATTATTGTCACTCAAAATTTACTCTGCCATCGGATAACAGGGAAATGCGCCAAATTTTCTTTTTTAACACTTAGTATCCAGTTAGGGACTAAACAAATTAATAAATCTCCGTAACAACTAAATCTTAATTACGGCCGCTCTTTGTCGACTTGTGCCAATAAACCCTTTCTTTGAGAAATAAATCTGATTTTCTAATTAAGTACAAACATTATCGTCGCAAGAATATTCTTTGGGCGGAACAGCTATATTAAAGGAATATTTTCATAATTGAAAGGCACGATCAAAGGGGATGGGAATTATCGTGAAATTCGACGACAGTTGTCGACACTTTGTCGACAATTTGAAATTTTCCTTGACTCGTAATAGTGACTTGGAACTCAAGTACTACGGACCACGGTATTTTTATAATTAATATTCATCTGCGTAATGAGATTTCAAATTACTTGTGAACATTGAATTAAAATTGTGTTAGAAGCATTGTTGAACATTTCATATAATTAATTTTGAATTGTTCCATTGCTTTCAATCCCGACATCTCTGTTAAGAAGTTAATGGCTGGAAGTCCGGACGTTTGTTTTTTCTTAATTAAAGTAAGCGTAGACGCAGCTGCAAATAATATTTTAATAACGTTGTACTTTCGTGTTTTTAAGATTATAACATGTAGGTATGGATTAAAGATTAATTTGTAAAACTTGAATAGTCACTACTACCGAGAAAAAATAATTTTGTAATTTAAAAACGATATAGGTACTCATTACTCATCCTTCGTAGCAAAAATACCATCTATGCGATTTAAAACAACATTAACTTACATAAAACAAGGTCTAGAAAAACTGGCAAATGGAAACGAATTTTAATCAATTGTCCGATCACATCAACCCTCAAAGTCACCCTTGTACTTTTAATCAACTAGCGTAGCGTGGACAGTACCAGGAGAACATGTGAACATAGGAGGTACATTGTTTACTCGACAACACAGCTAGTTTCATTAACATTTAATTCACAATAACATTGAACAACGAACAAAGTTCGGCTGTTTGCAGTATGTTCAATGTTCGGGCTATCTGTAACGTGCAGTACCAGTGGTAGTTAGTTTACGTTAGCAGTCTGTAACCTGTCGAACTAGATAACTGCGAGGAAAGCTTGCATCTGATGTTGTTAACTCGTATCACACGGAGCCATTACAATAGTTGGTCTTTGTATTTGTACCTGTAGGTAGGATCCATATTGTTGCTTTCATTTGAATAAGTGTTGAAGATCCGTATTTGTGTACATTCGAATAGTGAGTGTTGTATTAATTATGGTAGATGTTTGTTAATTGGTTTAGAGTTACTACAAGTTTATGCTTTACTGGTACATCTATTGGTGTTTGTTAATTTACACATAGATGCCTAGAGAGCCTTAACTAAATAATAGTTATGAAGTAGGTAGCACGGTAACTGAAGTACACAAAAAATCGAAATCTGGATCTGAACAGTTTTTTGATTTAATCCCACAGTAAATACAATAGCTAACAAAGACAGATTTATTTCGGAGGAACTAGGTATTACAATACCGCTTTTATTACTGTTGTGAGGCTTGTCCATACAACATGGTCTACGTTACTAAATCGAGTGATTTATGCATGTCCGATGCTTCGACGTTAGGCACCTACTGTGCTATTGTTTCTCCACGATTTATCGTGAATGCCCGCACAGGAGTCGCCGGCACAACAATTCACTTGGACAACAACATCGTGTGCATTGACGTCACTGGGCACTACGCGAGGACCCATTGTTAGGACCATGTTCCCAGCTATTACAAATGAGCCATACGCTGCAAATGACATGTACGGCAGTTTGTCATCGATGCTTGATAAAGAGGATTTGTTATTTTTTAATTAAGCCCATCAATTGTGGGCATTGTTTGGTCCTGTAGCTGTATTGTGGGCGATGAATACTTGGTCAAGGGGTTGATATATTGTGTGCTTCTTTAATTAATTATTTTCAAAGTCTTAATAACATACTTTTGAGATTGATTGCTAATTAAAATTTAACTTTTGATATTACTTCTAATCTAGGCATTAAATATTAAGTATAAGGCATTATCTATAATAATTTCAAACCAAATTCCTTGACACAACTTCAAACCATTCATTTTTAGCAACCATGTTAATATTCCCACTGCACCTGTTAGCGTTACACCGGCAAGCAGTCACAAGAGGGCACAAAGGGAGATTTATAAAGAACATAAATCACCCTTAGGTGGATGAAATTTGGGTACTGAGCAAATAAATCCGGTGGTACTCAAATACTCTTACTAGTAATTTCATAACTGATCTTATGGTCCGAAGAAGTCTATAGCTAATATTAATATTAGCTACGTTGTACTTTACATAGAAATTCTGGTAAAATATCTAAAAGTTACGTTTTAGGCTAGATTGTGTTCACAATCAGAACCGAAATGCCATTGGCTTTTTTCTATGCCATAAATAATAATTGGCCGATTCGATTTGTTGATTTATGGTTATTAAAGATATGTACCAGTGATAACACGCACGGTTTCAAAATTCATTTACATGGAAATGTGGACCCCTGGTCGATGTAATGGGTATTGTTATTGCAAACCTCAAATTGTACGCTGTAGTTATAATTGTTACTGTTAGTAGAAAGATTAACTGAAATATTTAAGATTTTACGATGCGATACGAGATTCTACGATAAAATATTTCATACTACCTAACCAAAGACAAAAAATGAAACCTTTTTGCAACATGGCCGAACATATTTAAAACCATAATTCTTGGTTCTTCCGTTCCACTTTTAAAAGTTCGATTCATTCGATACCATTCATTCTTCATAAAAATTATGAGCTATAAAGATAATGATGTATCATTGGACACAAAAATCGGCTGGAGACAAAAGTTTCCCGATCGGGAGCGCCGGCCGGCAATTTATGGTTATGGGGTCCATTGCAGATAGCCGGCAAACGGATGAGTGTCGGACCAAACGAGCGCATGCATTATTCTTCGAACATATTCAAAATTAGAGCACGTATTTGTCAAACTTGCATTTTGTGATTAAAATATTTATGATAAATGGTCTCGGACCGGCTCGCTCTAGGGTCGATAATTCTTAATGGTGAACGTCAATTTTAATTTGCCTGCCAGAAAGAGTTTATTTTAGGTTGGTGATGAATAAATTTGAACAGCTTGAGTTTTTAGTTAAGCAAGTGATCACTTTGTTTTTATACCGTCCAAATACAATACATGTAGGTATAGTGAAGTACCTACATTGTACACGCTTGAATAAAACGTTACAAAGAATAACATAACATCACGCCTTTTACCTTCGAAGGGGTAGGCAGAGGTGCACATTACAGCACTTAAACTGTCAAATACCAAGCGGTCACCGGTGACCGCAACCTATTGTTCTATAATTGTGTCTACAAAACCGGTACTCGACGAGTTAATGCCACTGTACAATGTAACACCCACTTTTCATTATTTATGTTATATGTCCCATGTAATAGAGGCTGAGCCTATTGTCTTATTCCGGGCACAATTCTATACTTACTCCGTGCTACTACTGAGATTTTTTTCTAAAAACCCACTAATACTTCACCCGACCCCGGAATCGAACCCGAGACCCCTTTGCCCCTTTGTCACACTTGTGAGCACTCGGCCAACGAAGCGGTCAGTACAAAGAAAGCTTGCGTGATAGTAAGGAGAAAAAATATTATTAGCTGTACTATCACGTTGAGGGTCTTTTATTCAATCACCAGTTAACTCTCAACTGTAGAATACAATTGACACTTTTTTAGTATGGAAGAATTGTCAAATATTCAAATTTATTCCTCAGTTAAGAATTAACTGATGATTAAAAAATCGACCCTTATGCCCGAATACTGAAACGTTACTCAATTTTAAGTCGCGCTTAAGCATAGTTCTGTCCCTACTAATTCTTTGTAAAATGACAGAGAAAGCACGATATTTAAGCACGACTTAAAATTGAGTAATGTTTCAGTATTCCAGCATTAGTCTAGTAGAGGAGCTCGAACCTTATATCACAGGATATGAATACTAACTGAAAATTACAAAACAAAAACATAGTACCAAGAAAATATAGAGAATCGACGCGTTTGAATAAAATATGAAATAAATGATCAACTCATGTTTATACAGAATAGAATGAATACATATCTATAACCAAATAAAAGCATAGATGTACAGTATTCTCAAGAAAGAGACAATATGCCGTTGTATATAAATCGGTTAAAAATATAGATATTTACATTTACATAGAAACTGATGTTTTGTTCTGGACTTGTTTCACAAGAGTTCCGATTCAATGATAATATTCAGAATATTTGAAAAAAAAAAACAGTTAGATATTGTAGGTTTTAATAAGTACGAGAGTACGAGTTTTAATAATCCAATATAAACTGAACGTTAAATGTGCAGAAAGATGATGCGACTCAACACCAGGATAAACTGGTTTTGTATAGATTGATGTGTCGCCAGATGATTTTTTTTTTTAAGGGCGGAAAATCATCGAATGGCTGCTCCCGCCTGGGTGACGCGGGAGGGAGTGTCAGACTCTTATTGACTAAAAACCACCCCGTTCCTTCTCCTGCACGTCGAGCCGAAGCCCCGGTTACACGTTAAGTTCTCCGCGACTCCGAATCGGCATCGGCCCTATTTGGGCCCCATCTGTGGTGGTCTGATGGCTCTTTGAGGCGCGCGCGGAACGCGACGCGCCGTACGCTCGGGTCTGTTTCTGGTCGGACGGGGAGCCACCCATGCTCGTGTGGCCAGGTGTACAATGCAATGGGCAGTTTTAGTAGTTAGTAGTAATAGTTTTTCGCAATTTCTATTGAAGATTTTACATTATTCAATCTGGTTCTTTTTAATGGGATAAGTCGGTTAACGAGAAGACGAATCACCTGATGGTAAGCATTCGGCGCCGCCCTTGTACACCTGAAACACCAAGTTACAAGTGCGTTACAAGTGCGTTACCGGCCTTTCCGGAATTGGGAGTTTGAGAATTGTGAGAAATTCAGGGACTGGGGAGGGGGGAGGGGGATAGGAATAATTGGGCCTCCGGTAACCTCACTCACACGACGAAATACAACGCAAGCGTTGTTTCACGTCGGTTTTCTGTAAGGCCTTGGTATCATTCCGGTCGAGCCGGCCCATTCGTGCCGAAGCATGGCTCTCCCATACGTAGAAGTTGATATTTTAACCATTGAAAGGGAATTACATTCAATAACAATTTTTTATATGTGATGAGTCGACGTTTGCCACTATTTCACCTGGTGGTAATAATTATGTACCAATGAGTAAATAACAAAATTACTTATCTACCGATCTTTGAATATAATATGTGCCGGTTGTTATATTTTCTCAGATTGTTTATAATAGTCAGATAATACCATACAGATTTTCCTACTGGTAAATGCTCAATTTTACTTCACGTATTAAAGAAAAAACTACGTTACACGGAAAAATATTCGTATATGTCGTTTTCGTGCACAAAATGTGTTGTTTGTAGACACAAATTATGTGTGTCTGCAACCGAGGTGAAGTAGTAGACTACTAGAAAAACATTTTCGCCTCCACCCTATATTCCAAGGTATTTTCAATCCAAATTCACAAGCACGCAGTAGAAGGCAGTAGTTCTCCACCGAAGATATTCATGATGCAATTAAATTATGCACGGTACTGAGGGCAACTTCGGATTGGTTTGATCAAATGTGGGCTACCTATGTTTGCATTTCATTGGCAAATGGAATTGGTACTTGCCCGCGCTGTTTGCCAATTTCCACCTCGATGTCTGATATAATTTCGATAATTATTTTAGAGTAAGTTCAGCTCCTTCCCGTGTTAGTTTATTTCAAGTTACCTCCTGCTCTCTAAATGCAGTAAATGTTGTTAATTTATGCAACTATTTTTGGTTTGAGGGCTTTACTTTGTTGGGTTTACTTTTTAAACTGTCAAACACCAAGCGGTCACCGGTGACCGCAACCTATTGTTCTATAATTGTGTCTACAAAACCGGTACTCGACGAGTTAATGATGTGTTGATTAGAAAGAAGTAATTGCTCTGGTGTTGCGGGTGTCCATGGGCGCTGATCGCTTATCAAGACGAATCAAGTGATCCGTATGCTCGTTTGCCTCATGTTCCATAAAAAAAATATAGCAGCTACGTGAGTCATATACTGAATTTTATGTACTTATGATAAATATAAAATTAATAAATTACGAGTACTAATGAAATATTTCGACTATATCCTTTCAAATTAAGTTTGAACGTCGAGGATAACACTCAGTTGCTCCAAATCCATACTTGGATATTTAAAAGTAATTAATTGCATTTAATAGATTTGGTTTCAAGTGTGTGTAATTGCAATTAAACGAACAATTAAATCACTGAATAAATAAATAACAGTACCTGCCTTTAATTTATTGGTTTTCGTGGCAATTCAAGTATTCTATTGAAAACTTAATTTTATTAGAAGCCAAACTTCTAGGTACGATAGGTTCAATATCCGTAAGTATACGAACATAAAGCATCTAAATTGTTGGCTTATTTTTTTTCCACATAACATAACATAACATCACGCCTTTTATCCCCGAAGGGGTAGGCAGAGGTGCACACAGAAATAAGTAACATCCACTTTTCACTATTTATGTTATGAGTCCCATGTAATAGGGGGTGAACTTATTGTCATATACCGGGCACGATTCCAGACTCAGTGCTACTACTGAGATATTTTTTTTAAAACCCAGTCATAATTTGCCTGACCCGGGAATGGAACCCGAGGCCCCTTGCCCGGCAGTCGCTCTTGGGACCACTGGGCCAACGAAGTCAGTCAGTCTTTTTTCCATACTACATTAATCTCTAAAGACTTAAAGGTTTTTCTCTGAACCCACTTAGGTGTCCTTTACCAAAATCTCCTATTTTATAAACAAAATCAAGGCTCGAAATAAATAATTGAATATGAATTAATGATATAGATACGTCAGAATATGGCCGAAATAGAATTAGGTTCATTTGTTGGAGTCCCGCTCGCCGTCTGTGGCGCGTACTGAATATTTGAAAATGGTTGAAAACAGCCCCTGCTACAATGAGGTACGAAGCTATTATGTCTGTTATCACAACACAATAGAATTCTAATTGCTTTACAACTTAGTAAGAAAAGAATGGTGCTTAAGAAAATCATGGCATGGTTATGGAAGAAGAATATTTTGTCCAGATTTCGATTTAAAAAAATTCAAACCTTATTAATCACTTACCTAAGTAAATTGACTAGATTAGCGTGGAGTGTCGTGAAATGTATGGATGGATGTTTCCTATAGTTCTACGTAACGACTGAAAAATTTATTCTGTTAATCGTAGTGAAAGTATTCTTAAGTCTAAAAATATCATGCGATATTTTTTTATCAAAAGTTTGCCCCACACTAGAACTATCATCTGTGTCGTGGGAGCGTTAACAAATATACAATTTCACATACACATTACACCCAGACCCGGAACAATAATCTATGGATCACACAAAGAGTTGTTCTGTGCGGGAATCGAACCCGCGACACGTTGCTCGGCAACCGGTTACCCAGCCACCAAACCAACTGTGCAGTCAATTTGATCGTGACATGGAATAATTAATAAGATAAAATCAGTTCACAGCACCAGCAATCACACTTATTGTCCATGTCCCCCAAAAGCTGCGAATTATGAATTTATTTTAGGAATAAAACAACAAAACTCTAGCAACAATTTTGCTATTGCATGTCACACTTTATTATTATAGTTTAAATAACAGTAGGATAAGTTTCATTAAAGTCGAAAGTAAGTAAAGTTGAAGGTGCATTACAAAATCACACAGGTGTATCTGTATAGATGTGTATTAATTATTTATTTACACTCGCAATAGTCAGTTACACTTCTCCGAGTGATTATTTGTGATAGATATGTTATCTTATTCTAAATACTTGCATCAACTGCTTCTATTTATATAGGAGCAGGAGTTGTAGTTGTCAAAACAAACCGTTACGATTTCATTCCCTTTGTGCTTTCTTCATTTTCTTTTCATAATGTTTGATTTCTATAATCAATATTATAGCACAAACCACCCACATCAAAATCAAACCGTAGAACAAGGTGTTTATCTTCGAAAACGCTATACCAATAGGAATCATTTCATCATGAATGTCTGTCCTATCCAAAATCCATTTGTGGTTATTTCCATCGCTCAAAATTTTGTCTATAACTCCAGCTTCGACGAGGCTGAATATTACATCATCCACGTCCTTGGCTGCTGGCCACCCAGGGCGCATGTAGAAACTAGCACCAGTAGCACTGATACGTTTCTCAAGTATTTGAACGTAAGGTGCTAGAAGATTAACCAAAGCAATATCCGTAGCTAGAAGGAAATTCTCTCCTTCAAAGATACGACGAATATACTTTCTCAGTTCATTCATTGGTATCACTTTATAATTGTGTTCCAATGGAGTGTCCTTGTAATATTCCACCACTACTTCCACTCCGCCGTAACCATCCACTTTTGTGACTGCATCTTCTATAGATTCAAATGGTGGTTCTAAATCTGGAGTCTGTAAGGCATTCACAAGATCTGCTTGATAGTCGATTCTGAAGAAGAAGCAGAACCAAATCCAAAGAACGAAAAGGGTATTGAGAAGGAAAGACTTTGTGACGAATTTCACTGACTGACCCAATATTATTATAAACGATTGGTACAATATGCGATTAGTTGCTCTGGTCAAATGTGGTTTACATTTTATCACTAGACTAGCAGAAATAAGAAATGAAATGTATACCAGACCGTGTAGGTAAGTAAAGTTGGTTTGGTCAGGAACAATAAATTTTAGCCAATCATATACTTCACGTTGCCTACGGCCCACCCAACGAATGTCCACTGTGTGGTAAGTATGAGATGGTAGAGTCACGGTATATCTTTTCTCAGTAAGAATGTCAGCTGGAATAAGTATATCAGCTTTTTCAGTAGCCAAGTCTCCAATAGAACCAGTTGCTGTCCCATTGACGTACGTTCCAAAAATGCTATTATTATAAGCAGATGTAACTTCTAATGAAGCATTCAATTTAGTTAATATAATCATAAGTATTTTTCCATCATAGCCACCAACGGATCTGATCCTGCCATCTTCTGCTTGTACAGTAACGTAAGGAAAGTATTCTAAGAGGGCCGTTCTTATAGGACATTGATAGAAATTGCTGAATTTCTTAGGAAACATGTCTTGACCGTACTTCATAAACACTGGCGTGTAATTACCGCATAGACCTTCACTATAGGGAAAAAACGTCGATAATTTTACTTCACCAGTATCCATTTCACTGACTACAATTAAGTCTGCCTGATCGTTCTTTGACGTCACTTCTATATAATCATACAGCTCTTGATTTGACGTCACAATATTTTCCAAGACAAGAATAAAACGAATGGGGAATCTTATAACTTCATTGATGAGCTTCATTATAATTTCGTATTCATTCAAATCATTTGCGAAATAGATTGTTTGTTTGAATCCAACTGTTTCATTGATGTCACGGACTCTGCTATCGTTGTAAGTGGCCCAAGGACTGAGGACCACAGAGCCAGGGTAACTCATTAAGAATCCATTGACACAATTTGATGAATTTTGTTTCCAAATGACTGTTGTAGTGAAGTGACGATTGTAGTATGTACTTGAAATGTTCACAGCTGTTTTAATAAGGTTTGATGTTACGGTGCAGTTAGGAAAGTCATCATTAAATGTAAAATTCGATAATGTAGAATGCACAAGAGTGAACAATATTAAAACGTTTTTCATGTTTAAAGATGGTGTGGTTACATTGGCGACAAACGACTGAGAACTAACGTTGGTTTACTACTATTATTCACTGACCAAAATATTATATAGCAAGCCATGTATCATGTTGGCTAAATCATATAATTGAAACTGTCATCGTTGTCGTGTTGTTATTACTAGCAATGGTGTTACTTAAGTTTTATCTACAATAAAATTAATTTTATTTGTAGGTATAATACTATCCATTACGTATAGTACATACCAAAAGAACCGGTTTTTATATTGTTTGTGAGTAAACAAATAATTTTCTAAAGTGTATTTGCCTCTAAATGAAAAGTCCACTATAATTCCAAAGTGATTTATTGTAGAAACGAAAATTATACAATGTGTATACAAATACATATAAAAATGCAAATGTCTGTGTAGTGTATGTTTACAGACGAATCTAAAAATATTGCTAATTCTTTCGATTCTTTGACAAAATGCGTATGTATAAAATCTTTATTTGCAACATTCGTATATATTCTTTGTGATCTCATTTAGGCAGTAATCAGCTTTAAATACTTAACAATAAGGTACATAATAATTATCAGGTAAACAATATCTGTTTTTAACAAAGCCGCTTATAACATATAAGTTTGAGGGGACTAGTTCATTTACCCATAGCGGTCGATATGATAAATAGGTACGAGTAATATCAAAAATAGTAAAATTGATCTCCAGTTTATTTCGTCATTTTAAAGGCACTATTTAATTCTGTTTGCAACTTTAACTAGTAACACAAATCATCCAATCGGACGAAGCCATCTCAAAAACCACATGCAGATCTTAGAACCTTAACTATAGAAGCTTTTAGCTGTTACAACAACGACATATAGTATAATTATATATTCGTTAAATAATTTTATTGTTACGTATGTACTTAATTATTAAAATTCTATCGAGGTACATTATATAACATTAAATCCTATTAATAATTTACTTAATTAATCAGTATGGGTCAATATTCCATTGTGTTTTATATTTTGTACGCAAATAGTTTCTTTTATTGTTAAGCGTCAAGTTATATAGATTTAATATTGATCCACGGCTTAATATATAAAGTAGAAGTTATCAAATCAAGCATGGCCACGTTTATTGGTATTTCTTTTCAAAAATACTGATTACTAATCTACGAATTTAATATCATTATGGTTCGTTCACAAACTTTTATATGCAATTTTAGATTTGTATCTTACTCGATTTTGTGCCTGATAATATCAGTTCTTAATATAATAATTCGAAAGATTATAGACATAAAGTTGAGATTTCAAGTGATTTGTGGCCATGGCATATGAAGTAAGGGTTTAGCCTCCACGCTGTGTGAGGACGGCGTCCAACAGGAGGAGGGCACCATTGATGATGGCGAGGGAAGCCTTAGCCAAGTTCTTGTCCCTCCATTCTGATTTTGACGCGTTCTGGTATCTGGAACATAAATTGTTAGTAAGTGACAAAGATATATGCAAAGGTTCGTTAAGTAGGCAGTTAGATAAACAAAAACCTTGTTCTAATCAATTTCACTTAGGGTCATAACTTGCGTCTTTTTGAATAGAGATAGGTGCAGTTAAATACATCGTTCATTGTATATTTGATTGGTCTTCTGAGAACCCTATGATAATGTGTTTACTTAAGAATGTTTGGCGTAAGAATAATCGTTCCTCCATCAACCTCGTTAAGGAATTGACCCCAATACCATGGGATGAGCTATTTTAGTCCATTCTGTATAAGCTAAAGAAACGAAAAACGACGTTGATGTTTTCAATTTTATGGACGTGTTGTTCTACTAAATGTATTGCTAAGATTAACTGTGTTGTGTTTATCGACTTTCGAAGTTCCTATGCATACAGCTTGAAATTATTGTCACCTAGGTAAGGTTCATAGATGGTAAGAGACTGATTTTAATCTGTTTATACCTATCTAATTTTTGAATAGGTTGTCTCACCATTATTATAAAACTATACATACAGAGGGTTTAGTGTGAGTTTGTCTTACGTTTAACGAGACCGCATGCGGCGCACTAATTGGCTGGCTCCAATGAATCAACCAATCAGAGTACTGGACGCGGTCTCGTTCCGATACCGTTAAAGGTAAAACAAAATTGTACGAAGCTCTCAGAAGTAGTAGATAAACATACATACTATATAGCGCCTATAATCCTTCGAGGAATGAAATAACATAATGTTAAGTTAAACTTACTTGTCAATAATAAGGGCTCCGCTGGCGACGAACAAGGCAACTCCGATCAGCGAGTAGAAAATGTCAACGCGTTTGTGTGAGGGTGTCTGCATGACATAACCTGTAAAATGACGTCATTGTTTGTTAGCACTCGCTACTTTGAATATTAAGTAGCTGATAAACTACGTAGGTGCAATACTTATAAGTGTAATGGTAATTGGTGGCAGGTGTGCCAATGGGTTTACATTGACACTCAATATTTACTTCAGAAGTGACGCTTTTGCATATCGTACCAAAAATACTTTATAGGGCGGCAAACGAGTAAACAGATCGCATGATAGTAAGCAATCGGTACCACCCATAGTCACCAGACAACACCAGTGGAACTATAAATGCTTTGCTGGCCTTTAGGGAGTTAGATTTGACATAACATAACAACAAGCCGTTTATCCCCGAAGAGGTAAGCAGAGGTGTACATCACAACACTTAATGCCACTGTACAATGTATCACCCACTTTTCACTATTTATGTTATCAGTCTCATATAATAGGGGTGAGCCTACTGCTATATACGGAACATATTTCCAGATTCCGTGTTGCTACTGAGAATTATTAAAAAAAAACCACGTAATATTTTGCCCAACCCAGGAATCGAACCTGAAACCCCTTACCCCTTGCCGCACTTGCGACCACTCGGCCAACGAGCGACATTTGACGATTAGAAATGTAGGGATATTAGTACTGACCGGCTGCAGCTCCGGCAAATATGATAAGGTATCCCACGAAGGTACCGGTGACCAGCATACCGGTCTGAGCATCACCATCGTAGCTGTGGTAGTGGAGGGCGACACACGAACATGTGAGCACCTGGAATAGAGAAGATAATATTTTATTATCAGTGGTCACAGAGTACAAATTTCTATCTATCCAAAACTTATTTAGTTGCTTCACATGATAACATTCTGATAGTCATTCACTGCAAAAAAGAAACTATACCCTTCCTTCAGTCTGGTAAAATGTCTGGTTGTCGATACATTAATAAAATTGCTGCTTAATATAATCGTTTGCTAAATACTTAATGGAACGAGAACTTTATTTTGATATTTAGAATGGTGAAAACTGCACAAAGTAGGTATATAAAATCTATATAAATAAAAATGAAATTCCATTCGTTAGTCTTGATAAAACTTGAGAACAGCTAGACCGCTTTGGCTAATTTTGGTCTTGAAACGTTTGTGGAAACCTAGTGAAGGTTTAAAAGGTGAACAAAAATTTTTTTTGGCGGTACGAAGTTTGCCGGGTCAGCTCGTTGTAGGTGTATAAAAACGAAAATCCAATAGAACTTTTTGTGTACACAAAAACTAATCTGCATTCATTATGAATCGTAAGACCGCGTTACCAAAATGGCGCAATGTTATACTCATAGTAGATAATGACGTCATAGTTCCTCAAGCGTATTATGACGAGCCACAGATAATATACCAACCAGTTCTGGAGGGATGATGTCATGCTAAACACGCCACATAAAGCCGAGGCCAACTGCTAGGAGCCTTGACGTCTTGTCTTTGAAGATGCGAACATCCAAAGAGGTCGAATGCGCTTTCATTGAAGTTCGTGCGTTTTGTGCATTGTTAATTAAAAAATTTAGGAAAAATCACAATACTACTGTGGCTGTTTCATGTATTGTAGTTTTTAAAGTAAATAATTTAGATACTCGATACTCAATAGACTCGAAGCTTTGGAATTCATCGTTAACAAAATTAAATATGTCTTTATTGATTATTATGACGAGAAATCGATAATTATTTTGATGTTTAGTTGTAGGTATACTTATCTATATGTTTTGATTTTCTGTAATGCTTGAATATAATCAACAACAGATACTATAATAATATCTGTACAACTAATGTTGTCTAGGAAAACGAAACATGCTTTCAATAAAAGCTAATTTTACATACTCGGACGATATACCTATAAACAGTCTTGTGGTTACGTATATTAGGTATATAATAGATAAATACATAAATATTATATCTGATTCACTACAATATTAACTACAACTAAACTATTAAATAAAAAGAAAGTAAAAGAAAACAACAAAAATTATACCCTTAATTTAGGCGTCAAAGTATACAATATTATATTGAGTTTTATTTAGATGTCAAACAATAAGTTAACCTAAGGAAGAATTTTAATTCAGCGCACGTTAGAATCGTTATAAAACGTGCCGTTCAATTGTTATATCATTCATTAATTTTATTATAGCTGCGCATTTCCGTACAATAGGAAGTATGTACCTACTTACATTTAATATTAATATGTCTAGTAATCCTCATATGAATTCATTGTTTATTAATGAAATGTCGTAATGTTCATATTCATTCATTTATTTTGAACCCACTCCCCTTTACTTTGGTCTGCTGAATAAAATGATCGATTTGATCGGATATTTTCATTTGGGTTTTTCGAACTTTTAGTCAGGTCGGTAAGTCAGAAATTGTTATCAGTATATGCTTGTTATAGCCATGGGATTAATAGCATTTTTTTTTATAATTATATTACTGTACACCGCTACTTTTAAACAAAAACCACGTCTTTAAAGTTTTAACTAGTTTTATTAAAAACACATGTTATATCGCATTAAAATAGCACAAGGATTGTACCTAATTGATATTTAGGTAAGAACGGGTGCACTTAGGAAGCGCGCCTACTTAGATAAGTTGGGTGATTACATATCGTTTACTATCTTATCAAAAATATGAATGAAAATGTAATAGCTTTTGCAAATAGTGTCAAATATTAGTTACCCGATTATTCTTATTATTACCTATGTACTCAACTTGCACTAAAGGCATTGTTTATACAACCATTTCTAGTCTGTTAATTTTGTTTATTTGATTTCCGATTTTATATCAATACAATAAAGTTTCAAATGTTATGAAGAAATTTCAAAGAAAACTATAAGTTGACAACCGTATATTTAGTATCTTTAGTTGGGTACGTCTACAACTGACCCACTGAATCCTTAGCAGAAAGCTCTATCACAATTAGATCACAAAGTTTAGTGTATGCTGACTAATACCTTAGGGACTGCTAACAGTAATTCTTGCACAGAAGTATTCGAATTTAACAATGAGTATTATCAATATCATCTATTACAAAATAGACTTTATTTCGTAGGTCAAAGATATATATTTAATAATTATTCGCACAGTAGATCAAAAATTGAATCACCTTGGAAATCTCAGTGGGTAAGTTAATTTGTAAACATATATTTATCAAGGAAGAGGTCGAGGTTACGATCGCACTGACTCATTCAGTGTTTTCGCACAGTTACTCATGTTGAATGTTAAATGTTTTTTTGTTATGTATGTATGTTATTATGATCTACTTCGTGTTGAAGAACAAGTGTTACTTAATTGGCTAACTACAACTTTACTCAATCATACTTCCAATAATGTATGTCTGGGCATGTAATTGTCTTAACGTAATCCCTGCAAAATCTGGTTTATTATTATATTCAAACGCAAATCCGTGAAAATTTAGTAGGTACAATAATTGCTACACTCTTCTCCAAACAAACCACAATTTCCTATAAAACTATACTTTTTTTATATACGATAACCCGGTAATCGAGCAGACGGATCACCTGATGATAATCAATAGGCGTCGCCCATGGACACCTGGAACACCAGAGGTGTTACAAGTGCCTCAGGGTGCCTTTTGGGAACTGAGAATTTGAACATTGTGAAGGATTCGGGGATTGGGGAGACTGGGCAGGGGGTAATTGGACCTCCGGTAACCTCACTCACACGACGAAACACGAAGCAAGCGTTGTTTCACATCGGATTTCTGTGAAGCTGTGGTATCACTCGCTATGTACATCATTCAATTCAAAACAAAATTTATGAAAACAAATTAACGATTGTGTCATAATGATTTTTAAATGTCCCTATAGTTTAATTAGTTATCATGAACAGCCATTAAAATGGGGTTAATGGGCACGGCTAAGTGTTAAAAGGTATTCGACCTTATTGAACTACATTAAGGGCCCACCTAGGTGCGCCTCGACATACGACAGAGTTATAAATAACTGCCCATGTACCTTGAGTACGTAGGTGCTATGTATTTATTTATATACGAACGTACTTCCACAGTTTTACTACATATTTCTTGTTTATATTAACTTTGTACTTGTAGTACTAAAATAACCTGGTAGAGGTATAGTATCAGATCATAGATCATTAGAGGCAGGTATAGGTCGTGTTTTCAAATATTTTCCAGTAATAAGGAATGGTCAATATGATCACAGATTCTTCTTTGATACTTCTAGATAAGAATACTCTATTATATATAGGTACTGACTGGACAACTGCTGCACTTTTAGGAATCAAAAATATAATAATATTCTTGTAACCACCCGATCAGCGAGAAATTAGCGCACTTACGAAACTTCCACATATAAGCATTCGTAGGTATTTTAGTTATCATTTAGCAAAAAACCTGTACTTAAACAAAACTAACGTAACTTGTCCTCATAAATCTAAAATATATGTTGAGTTCTATTTACCGCAATGCTGTTGGTAGTGAAAGCGAATATTTTTCATTCATAGTACTACAAACCGCGTGCTACGAATTAATCGAATTACGTATACATTATGGAAGTGAAACTGTGTCGTGTTCTCATAAGTAGCTGCACTCCAACGATTAGAAACATTCCATAGTACTTACTAACAAATAGTCCTATTGTTTGTTTGTAATTTATTGCTCATGGCTTCAATATCTATTGGGTTAGGTACATTGCTATTGTGTTGATTTGAGTCATAATCATTGCAACCGCAATGCTGAGATAGTGAATTAAAAACCTGTTGTAATCAATCTGCATTTTGTTTGAAAACATAATTCGGTGTTCCAGATGTTTATGGGCGACGCCGATTGCACCAGGTGATCCAACTGCTAATTTAACGGCTTATCCCAACAAAAATTTGACCACTTTTCACTTCATTACATTTCAAATCATTTTGTTTCAGTACGCCTAAGGGTAAATCCCTTTCTGTTACATATATTTAGTAAAAATATCCACCCTTTGCAAAATAAATTCTCCAAAGCGCTAAACTATTGAATTTTAGTCGATTGATAGCATTAATTCGTTTCTGGTTAATTATAAGATCATTTTACAAAGTAATCTACTTCGTGCGCGAAATGATTATAAAGTGTAAAAGTACTTAATGATTCCAATTAAACAATTATTATAAGTGAATCTATTGAACACATTCCTATAATAATGATAGTCAATAGTCATACATTGATTCATAGTCAATTAGCCTCTATTACGTTCATTTTGTATTCATTAGCGGAAACTGAAGTTAGAGTGATTAAGTGCAGTACGTTGAACTTTGTATGAAGTCATAACATCATCGTCATGCCTTGTGTTCTCCGAAGGGATAAGTCAAAGTGCGTATAGTATCTAAGGTAATGCCTAATAATAAACTCCTTGGGTTTAGGCCATGATTTCTTGATTAAAAATTTATGTGTTGATAGTGCTAACGATATCCCGTTGGAAAAATGTAACAGTTATCTTAGTAGCTTTAAGTACAACTCAATACTCAATTATTGAAAGTTAATTATAAAACAGATCATAAGAAAACATGGTAATGCTCGTCAAACTTCTCACCCGAATGGACGTTACAACTCTTTTCGCAAGAAAATTTCTAATCTGGCACATTTGACAGATGACATCGTCGACATAACAGCTAGTGCTGTCGATAACACAGATTAAATTATGGACATTAATAGTTGATATATAATATAATAATAGTTGATTTTCATCGTGTGTCTAATAGTAGGTACAGAATATTTTGTTCCTTGTTTGCATCCAAAGTAAACCTTACGTAATGTTTACTTAACAACTAGATTGTGTGACTCTATCCACGAAATTGCCGTCAATTTAAGCGTCCCACTTTGTGACTAATCAGGATTATCTCTAAGTCACAATCATGGCACTGCATCATGTGATCCTACGTCATCAACTAACACGATACATCCGTGACCTCTACGATTAAAGATAAACACAATTACTCCAATTCCTAAGAATAACCGAACATAGATCATATCAACGGGAAAATTGTTATAATATCATAAATCACGTAATATCTCAACTTTCTCATGAAACCCTAATTCATCCGAAATACATTGCAGATAAGATTTATTTTTGATTGTCTTGTTATTAGTAATGCTATTTTAAACTTATCGGATAAAGAATTTGCAGTATTCGAGTTTGAAATATAGAGTAGAAAGTAAACAGTCGGACTGGTAACCCACAGGTGGTTGAAGGCAAATATTTTTCATGTATTTTATGAGACGTTCGTATAAACAGAGTATGTTAATTCCCCACTTGTTGCTTGTAGATGTACGTAGTCAGTCAACAGTTGATGCGATTTCACTGGCAAAACGTGATCTTGGTTTCCCTTTATGGCTAGTTACTCTTATGGTCGGATATTGACACGCCTTTACTTTTACCGCCGTGTGTGTCAATAAATTAACTTTCTATTTAGAACCTTATCATATCATTCATAAACTATAATATCGTGCCTATAATATGTAGGAGTTACTGGTGTCTACCAATACTGGGTGTATTGTGAGACACCTCCCATCACCAGTTTTAGTACCTATTCTTAAAATTAATCATGTCTATAATAATAATTTATAATCGTGATTGAATCTGATAGGCTCAAGAATTTGATGATTTCAATGGCCGTGGGCGTGTCGTTGCTCACATACCGGATGGCCAAATTTTCTTCAATGGCCACCACGCACCGGATGACACTGCGTAGGTCGTACTACACATTAACACTTAAGCAAAACTCGTGGGAATCATTTGGTCATGAACAATGCACATTTTGTAATTGTAAGACAAGAGACTATAAACGATACTAGCGCCCTCTTTGTTGTCAAAAATGATTGTAATGAAGCTAATTTTGATATGTTTATGTGAACAGCATGTGCTGTTTTATATGTATTCATTCTGATAAAATAATTATAGCATTTCGATATGCATTTAAAAATAAATGATTAAAACAACATGTATGTACATATTTATTTACCTAATGAGGTTATAGTGCAGTAATGGTACTTATTACATTAACACACGCTTGATATCCACGCTCTAGTTTTCTATTTTATCAAGTTTTTTGTATTCCCATTTACTATTATTTACTACTCATAACAAATCCGTGTAATGATTCCAACAATGAGAGGCACAGCTATTTTAGAGGCGTACAATTTTAATGGACTGCCACGGAAGATGAAATAATGTTTCCGGTGCGTACTGTGTGTGAAGGACAAGGCTGTTTGATTTTTTTTTTACTTAGTAGCAGCTTATGTCACTTAATTTACCTACTTAATGTATAACAGGAAGCAGGGCTGAATAGGTATGGTATCTTAAAGTAGGATAAATATTTCAATAAACTCATTTTGAAGGCACTATTACTATAAAATGGCGTTCTATTGACTGTCGATTCATCAAACATGCGCAATTGAAGCATGCTTTAGCACTGAAGCAGGCTTCTATATCTATACTGTTATACATACTAATTTCATGCTTGAAATTTGTGGGGTAACAAGGGAACTTAGTCTACATAACTGCACTATTCTTCCCGAAGAACCTATCATGAAATTCATGAAATAACATCTAAGACCCACTTAAAGAAGTAGGAGTACGTAATAATAATACCTATTTAATTTCGTGATGACTTCTTCATTCCTATTAATAAAGGGAAGCATTTAAGTGTCGATAAGGTCTACGATATTATTAGGGTCACCCCCATATTAGTTGATCAAATGGTATCGAACCATGACCCGTTTTCCGTTTGTCTGCGCACACGACGGTTTCGTGTTTACACAGCTAACAAATTGTTACGTATATGTGTGTAATTATTCGATTTTTATATAAACAACATGACGAAACTTTCCATACTCAAAAAAGGATTCATACTTTATAGTTTCGAGCAACCACTCAATGAAAGAAGGACTTTCATTAACGAAATTGTATTAGATTAAAAAAAGTATGTTCGAATTCATCAAATATGACATGTACTTCGTAGATACATAACTCAAGATAAATATGAGTTCACTGTTATTTTTATCTGTTTGTTTATATCATTGGGTTAGCCTTTATAGTTACGATGTTGAAGGATCATATTAATCGATGCTGTAACAGTTATGTTTTACATCTAACTATAAATACTTATTTACTCTTTGATTGGTTGATTGGCCGGAAATGAGATAACCGAGTATGCGGTGTCGGTTTCATTTCTTGGATCAGTTAAAGTATTAATGAGAATTTCGATAAAGTATTATTTATATTGATATCACGAAACCCGAAAGTACGATACGACAACAAAACCAGATTAAAACATTTTTAAAACTCCATCTTTGCTTATCCCTTCGTAAAATATCCGGCTTATTATAGATGATACGAAGTACGATTGTGAAGTTGTTAACTCATGAAGTCATAAAGGACAGCCTTCAAATGAGGATTAGTGGTGAATCAATTTAGTCTCAGTCAATTGTAAAAGTGGTCAACAAAAGAGTTGATACGCTTAGGTCAGGCAGCTAAGAATAGTTTGTGGACAATGATGTAACAAGTTCTGATAAGTAAATTTAAAGCTATTGACTCAAATTGCTCATATTACCTTTGTCACCTTATGAGCAATGCCACGAAAATATTAGAAGGTTGTACCTACTTATACATACATACAAATTAATAATAATTATGTAACGGCTTAGTTTTGTCTGTTTGTAAAGTCACTTAACTATATTCAAGCCACGCTTGGGGCTCATAGTTAGTTAAGTTACCTCGTAAAATAGTTACGTGATTAATTCGTTAACCATTGGTAATTGATTTTAGTGAGACTCACAAGATTTATATTACAAAACTAGCTGTGCCCGCGACTTCGTTCGCGTAGAATAGTGACTATGAGCAGCGTTTTTTTTTAAATATATACTTATTTTTATTTTAGATTTGGATCATAATCACAGTCATTTTGGGTAGCTAAAAAACCTACTTTACTGTAATGCTTCTCTAA